TCTCAGACCCATCTCTGCACTACTAAGAACTTGAACTTTCTTTGAACTGTACCAGACCCAAGGACACCCTAGTTGTGTTCAGAACAACTTCTGCCAACTGCTACCTTATGGTCTCATGGTCTCCCCTTGTAACTATGCAACCATTTCAGATTCCAACCAATTTTTTCTTAACAAGCACCCTTATTTCTTGCCAGCTCCAATTATAATTCTTGATAAACAACTCATGCAATGAACTGTTACCTTGTGGTTTTTGCTGTGAATGAAAAATCTTGCCCACCATATCAGTAAACAAAGGCTGCTGTGGCCATCGAGTCAGTAGCCACTACCGTTGCCCCTGGGGGACTGGAGGGAACTTAGAATGGAGACTGGCTGGCAACCCAGCCTCTGCTGCCACCTGCTGTGGTGCACCTTGAGGGAATTCAGGATCGAAAAGAACAGGATACTGGCCCTAGATAGCCAGGTGCATATCAAAGGAATGATTTCAGTCAGCCCAGACTCTTGCATCTTCCCATACATAGAAAAGCACTAAATTCCTTAACTTGGGATACCTGGTTTTCTTTAATTAAGGGTAATTTTTTGAGGTTCCAACTACCTGGTCTTTGTTGCAAAAAGTCCTATATATCCTGGCTCCTCCCCTACCCCTTTGAAGCAGTCTCTAAGAGACTGCCTCCTGGGCTCAAGTCCTCAGAAAGTCCACCGAAGAAAACGTCACTCTCAACTTTTAGGTTGTGCATTTTCTTCCAGTCGACATTGCCTTTCTAAGACTCTCTCTCCCGTTTTGGAGTTTGGTGGAACACAATTCAAGTGCTTGTTGAATCTGTGTTTCCCACGCTGCAGCCTCAAACAGGCCCCAAATGAACACCTTTTTATTTCAATCAGGTCTGTTTCTAAAATTTTGGTTGACAGTTAGATTCAGACTGTGAGTTAAGGTAGATCCTTTGTGGCCTCTTTGTTTATGAATTTATATCAAAACCTCTCCAAAACTTTCATTTTCATCTTCTGGAACTTTTGCTTACAAATATGTCACAATTGGGCAATAATTTTACTTGCTTATTTCCAAATGTCTATCTGTAAAGTTTATAAAAATTCTGCATCCCTGGGTCCCCTCAGATATCAAGGATAAACCGCATGGGGTCCAAATATACGTAGTTTTTAAATGCCCCAGAAGCAGCTCCGATGTGCATTTAAAGGTCACCATCTGGAGGGTGGGGCCTCCTATCAGATGGCAGAGCAAAGAGCTTTGCAAATCCTCTTCCTCTCCAAAAAACTAGGGCACTGGAAAACATTGTCAAAACCAATCATTTTAGGAACCCAGTAACCAGCCAAAGTTGAGCAAGTAATGGAGAAGAGTTTCTTCCTGGAAAACTGAGGACTGGTTGGTAAGAAGAGGGGGAGTCTATGGTCTTCCTGCCTGGGGCTGCTCCCACCCCTGCCTGTCTCTGTTCAGCCTCTACCAGGGAGGGGCTGCCATGGAAACCGGCAACTTTGCAGCCTGAGGGTCTGACCCCATTTGAGGTGGAGAGTGGAAAAATCTCACATGTCGGCATTGTCAGAAACACTAGTGTCCTTTGAGGCAAACAAGTGCTGATGGCCGCCGACCTCACAGCAGGTCTGAAATTGCACTCCCACGGGGACCACCCCCCAGGCCAGTGGACTAGCCATAAATGCAGCCGGAAATGAGATCCTGGACATGACAGAGCCACAGAGGGCTTTGATCAATTTCCACACATCCTCGGCTGACCAGGAGGACCTAACAGGGCCTGGTGGAAATAAAAGGCAGGGCAAATACGAAAACTCCTGAATTTTAAATATGTTCCCCAATCCACACAGGGCTCCATCAGCAGAGGCTGGAAGCCACACTGGATTGAGCTGTTTGAGCACAACTTCTGGCTAATGACTGACTACACTACAGAGACCCAAGCGCAACCCTAGGAAACAAGACAGACATAAAAGTAAGAACCAAACTACTGTCTCAGGACAAAACTGAAAACATCATTCTACAGAAAGATGAGCAAGTTGCTCCCCGGTTCTGAAAAGCATAAAGCGGCAGAATGAATTCCTATTTGGACCATTCTTCATTTATTCAAGTACTATTTATATTTATCTCAGCTTGGACCAGACAGTGTGCTCAGTGCCCAGATACAACGGCGAACACGACAGATAAGGTTGAAATTAAAGAGTTCATTCTCGAACTAGAGTTTGCTCTTCAAGGTCTCAGGATTTGGGCAGACCACTCTGGTCTTGCACACAGTCTCAAATTTCTAAAGGTACATGGTTTTTATGACAAACCATATTTTAACTAACAAATTGGAAGCAGTCAAATACATAATGAAGTAACTGTAAGTGAGTTTCTTTTATCTGGTACAAAGAAAATAACGTTAAAGCACAACTAAGGCATCTGTGTTCCAGCGTGAGCTCCAGTAGCCTCTGCGTAAGAACACTCTGCGGAGCTCAGCTTCGTTATTCATACAGTGAACAAGGCAAAACACGTTTGACTGAATTTCTAAGCTGACTCCTTGATCTCAGATTCTATGATTATTTGTACAGGTATACAATGATACACATTAACATAAAAACATTTCTAGGAAACCTATCCAGGCTGACTTTAATGAATGCAATCCATCCGTAACTAGCACAGCATTTGTAAACACATTTTAAAAGTGCTATTTAAAGAGCTTGTTTTCTTAAATAGATAAAACACTGCATTTGAAACCTTATTTACAAGATTCGGCAGCAGACTTTGTTTTAATAAGAGGTGTTGGAGTCAAACTGTGTGTCCTAATATATCCACAAAAATTATGAGGCTCATAATTGCCTAGATTTTATTGTATCAGGAAGATCATGACCTTTGATATTTATTTTTTTAACAAATGTGGTATAGTGATTAGCGTGTCTCAAACATTGTTCTAACCACTTTACACATATCAATTCATTTAATCCTCAAAACATTCCTAAGAGCCACTATTATTAGCACATCTGTTTACACACAAGGAAACTGAGGCACTAAGAGGTTGACTGACTTGCCTAAGGTACTAGGAGGCAGGGTGAGATTAACTTTCTCTTGGCTAGTAAGTGGCACATAGCCTGGATTTAATCTCAGGTCAGCTGGTTCCTAAGCCCCAGCCTTTCATCTACTCTGCCCTGTTGCCAGAGTTTATAAACCTATGCCCTTGTGATATAAGACAGTACCTACAGAGGGAAAGGACAGCAGTTGAATTCAAGAAAATAACACATCATATTTCCCTTAAACACATGCACACACACACGCATGCACACAGACACACACAAACCCTCACATTCTCAGGCAGACCTTATATATACACAAAACCAAAGGATAAGTTTGACAGATTTGAAGGTATATGTAATATATATATGTAATATATATATATATATATATGTCTGTGTGTGTGTGTGTGTGTGTATAAAATACATATATAAAACCAGAGTAGTGAGATATAGAAGTTAAGGTCTTCAGTGTTTTAGAGTTTTGGGGTTAAATTTCTAGTGCCTTACTTTATTTCCCAATCCAAATATGAACCCCCATAAATGTTCTGTCATCAGCAAATGTGTTGTACACATAACGTCAATTCCACACCACCTTTATGCGATACCAAAATACGTAGTTTCACAGTTCAATGTGTATATGACAGATACACCCTTTATTTACTAATCTGAAAGAATTACCTGGCTCATTCAAGGAAACTCTCTTACCCCTGCCTTAAATTAACACGTACCAGTTTCACCTTCCAGGTCCTTGATGTTGGTTGGATCATTTTAGTCCTCAGGGTCTCTGGTCTCTAATAGCCTGTGCTTCTGCCCTTGTCACCCTGCATCTTTGTCCTGTCCACAGTGACATTTATACTTTTTAAACGCACACTGGATTTCATACTCAGATTCTGAGTCTTCCTTGTGAGTGCTGAGAGATTATTTTCGAAAGAAGTGTTTGATAACAAGCAAATGTGTTTCCTATGGCTGAGATGCTCATGTCAGGCCTCGGAGGCATCCTCAGACACTGATCGAAAGGTTATGATAGAACTCCACTGACCGAACAATGAAAACGCCAAGAGACATGAAATGGGGTGAAAAAGAGGACTTCAGAACCTTCTCATTAGTGCGGAAAACACAGCGGAGAAGGAGCGCAGGCGAGCGTCACCGTCGCCATGGAAGGACTGCAGCAGTTAAAAGAAAGGTGGGAGCTAATGACATGCCAGATAAGAAGCAGCCCTCTCCGGAGCATCACATGACATTCCCTTCTGAGGACAGGGAGCCTGTCCCGGGTATCCTGTCGTGCTTCTGAGTCAGTCTCTGCAGCAACGAGACCGTTTCGCTTGTTTTTAATTAACGTGTGTCCTTGCTGACAGGCGTTGTGGATGAGGCACTTTTTCCTTCCTATTATGGCTCAGACTAGATTTAATTACAGTGGAAATGAATCAAGAAACATGACTTCCGGCGTAGCACGTTAAATGTCGGCAGAGTAACGACATTAATTTCCTGTTTTAAAGGATCAGAGTCCTCCCATCTTTAGGATGAGTGATGTGACGTGAGAATGATTTTAGGAAAGAGGTTAGTGACCCAGAGACCCTGCACGCCCACAGGAAGATCACTCGTTAGTTGTAATTTTTTGGATAGTTGCTTTGTTTGGGTAACGACTTAGTTTTATTTCGTGCATATACATAACTACATGCACGTAAATGAACAGTGCCCTTGAAGTGTCATAAACAAAAGGACCAGAGCCCTTTAACTGGGTCTAAATGAGCTAAGGAAATCTATCCTACATGCAGATTACCAAGATCCGGCCACATTCTTTTTTTATTCCCTGTAATAAGCAGAGGGAATATTTAAAATTATTTTATCTTTCATGTCATGAGCTCTAAGCCATGGAAATGCACTGTTACTACTAAATGTTTAGTCCTCCAGCAAAATATGTATTTTGGGGGGGAAGAAAAACCTAAACCTTAAAATGACCTTAAAACAAAGAAAGCTGAAGATATGTGGGGTACCTTCTCATACAGTCCAGCGCTCGGATGAAGAAGTCCTTGTGTAACTGGTGCTCATCCCTCAAGATGGAGCACTGTTCCAGCGTCACCGACATCGACGTCCTGTCTTTGGCACTTTTACAACAGGTGAAACGAATGCCATTTAGTTTGCGACAAATCTGTAACAGACATATAAACAGCTTACTGTTTATTTGTAGATCACTCTAAAGTGCTGGAGTCCCTTAACCACTTCTTGTCTAAACCCACCAAACTTACGCCAATTTACAGGAGTCAGTTGGTTCACTCTGCCCTCTGGAATGTAAAAACATTACCTTTTCATTTCAAAAGCTGGTGGAATCCATTTAATTTATTTAGTTCTTTGTTTGTGAGGTGTGGGGCTGTTGAAGCCATATGAGACAGTAGATATCCAGCAGAGGCAGCAGTGCCCCAGGAGAGGGGACCAAAGCCGCAGGGGATAATAAGTAACAATCACAGTTCAGAAGCGGAGGGGGAAAAAAAATCTCTATTTCCTGGATCAGTCATTTGTTTGGAATCTTAAATAGCTAGTAATCTTCGTATTGTACATTTAAAACACCTTTGCTAGTCTCGGTTGTATGTTATGAGATTTCAAACATCCACATGGTGCCAAGTGCAGCAGACAAGGAAATCACTCATCAATGCAACTAATAAGAATAAAGACACCAAAAATGGCCGATGTTAATTGCATATCTACTGTACAATGCTAATAAATGTCATATAGATCTGCTTTTTTAATTTAATTGCACATGAACCCTGGAGGAAGGTATATTAATCTCATTTTACGGATGAGGAAATGGAGGTTTGGATAGGTTAAGTGACTTGTGCACAACAGAGCAGAGCCAGGATGCTAATATAAGTCTACCTAACAAGGACCAAGTCTTTAACATCTGGTCCTTTTCTGTTTCTCTCTGTAATTACTTCTTTTTGTTATTCTGATGTAAGCCAGGAGAAGAATCTCTGAGTGGCAATAATTTACGGTCTCACTGCTTTATGGTTAACAGGTGAATCATTCCATTCTTTTCCCAAGCCCATAGTAATGCTCTGATATGAGATACCAATAAGCATCTTTAGCATCAACAATGTTAATCAACATGCACTTAAAATCCATCTAATATGATATCATAAGACCTGCTTTATTATCTGCCAACAAGGAGGACTTAACACTTGCCTGCTTTGAAGAGAGAATATAATAATACAGTTTATCAAGGGTTTTTAGCCATGATTTAATTGTGATTTTGATACTTATCTTAGGCTTTTCATGTCCTTATTAGACCTAAGGTACTTTCTCATTATTTCCAATGTAAATGACTAAAGACATATGAGAGCATGATTTCACCATATTATATTTTTTCCTCTATGAAACTCTAATGCTTTCAAATAAACAGTATTTCAAAATTTAATATGAAATAACAAAGGCTTGACTATATTTATAGTAAAAAATATAGACCTCAATGGCCACTTACAAGAAATGAAATGTAAAAAGAATGGATATTCTTTGAAATGTATGGTCACAATTATATGCAACCATCCTACAAAGATATTTCATGTTACAAATTTAAAATAAAAAAAAAGCAAGGGCAATTCCATTACAGCAAATAGGTTGGGTCCTGGTTTCTATATTTCTACAACTCGTTTTGAACTATATGAGCTTAATTTAACATACCTGATTGGCATTTGGCCTTTTGAAATTCTCATTTTTATTTGTTTAAATTCATTCAAGATAAAAACCAAACAGCCTTCCATTTTTCAATTAAAATGTAAGATATTAACAAAAGCAGTATTTCATTAACAGATTCAAAGAAGAGAGGAAAATCAAATAGAGACAGAAATAAAAGTTTTTTGGGGTAGGGGAGGGTATAGCTCAAGTGGTAGAGTGCATGCTTAGTGTGCATGAGGCTTTGGGTTCAATCCCCGGTACCTCCACTAAAATAAATAAATAAAACCTAATTACCTACCCACCCCCAAAACACAGCAACTGATTAAAAAAATATTTTTTGTCTTTTAACATTTTTTATTGATTTATAATCATTTTACAA